CCCGCGCACATAAAGCATAATCTTCACGTTGATCAACCGCCTAATGGCGACAAGATATTGACGCCGATCATAGCGCATTATTTCGCCGTTTTCAATAACGAAGTTTGTTTATCGATTTATGAAATGGAGTCGAGATCACGCCGGTACGCTGAGAGATAGGCCCGGTTTTCGTTCGCCGGTGATGTTCAGGTTTTACCCGGTATTCCCGAAAGTTCATCTTCGACGCCTGTATAAGTACGTCAATAATCAATGCGCATCAGCGATTTGCAACCGTCTTTGAATAACTATTGACCGATAGTCGAAAGGTTGTGGTTTCATCATCCGGCCTTTCGTTAATGTCAGTGCTCACTATAAGCAGAATAACGCGAGTATTATAATTGTGCATCAGCTTTCGCGCATCTGGTCGCATACAGTTGTGCGGTTCGCTTTTAAAGGTGTTTGTCAACGAAATGCAATAACAAACAGCGATTGTAATGGGATAGTTGAAACACCGCGTTAAACGCGGCTTCCGCCCGTGTACCGACCAGCGTCAATAATCAATAGCAGCAAAACACATGAATAAAAATGCCGTTATCTCTGTACAGAGTTGCATTGAAGATAATCATCGTCAGTGATCGTTACAAATAAACAGTACCAAATCAATGCATCCTCTTCCTCCACATTGGTACCGGTTCATAATCACGAGTTAATTTCAGCATATGAAACCCATTTTTGTGTTCTGCGCTGGTAAAACCGCCACATAATACATGTTTTGGTTTCACTTTACGTTCATTGACTCATTTTCGAAGCACCATCGTGTTTAGCATACAGCGCAATTCTTCAAACGAAACAGCGAAGCTGGCGACGATTTCACGTACAGCGAAACAAAGGCAAGTTCGTTTAAGATTTGACTTCACATGAGTCAGTTGTTTCGCCGCAAATCACGTAAGCGATCACGATTATCAAAACCATTTATCAAAAGTTGAACGAAGGCAACCAACCACGGCATTCTCGACGAACAGCCTTACCAGACATAATATGTTCACGTAAGTTGACGAAAACACAAAGTATTGTAGCATAATAGTCGGTCGCAGATTTTCAGACGTTAAGGTCGGCCCTTTCATTATTCGTTTCATATAATATTACCGTTCACTTATAGTCCGAATATATCAGGTTCAACAGCAATGTAAAAGCCGGTCACCACAGTAAAGTTTCATGATGCCGTTTTGTCATACCACCGAGACGAATGCGATCAAGATCCCGTCACGATGATCACGGTTGGTCGGACGCAATCGACCGATACGACCGCCAGTTAATATTCCAGCAACATTTGGTGAAATGGTCATCAGAGCGTAGATTCGACGGTCGGCGGTCAACCGAGTTGTCTAAAGATCGACATCTGGCGTCAACGTCATTTCGATCTGTTACCGTCAGGCTCAATTACGGAAAGCTATCCAATATTTTACCCCATTATTTAGGTTCGTCTCAAAGCACTCAACAGCAGTTCTGTACCAGTGTTGTTTATCAGCTGATGTTGAGAACGTTAGTCGTTTCGATATTTATCACCGGTTATCTTTATATATATTATAAATAAACACAGAGTTCACGAAAACAGATTAATCATTAAATACGTATTCTTCCGACTCATCGAAGACAGTATACCGTAACCATAGTTCTCAAACTTTGAGTACCGAATGATATAACCTTATTTCGCCGTTACGTCAACGGGATGACAGGTTCAGACGATTACGCCACTGGCGTTCCCCCATTATTTACAGCACGTCGCTGAATGAGGCGATGCATATCAACAAGATACAAAGCCGTACCAATGTTCACCCCAGATTAACAGACATTACCAAAAACAATATATTAAAACATATATGCTTTACTTCATAGATGCCAGACATCGCGCCTGTTCATTGGTGAAACGCCGATACTTGATTGTCATGGTGATACATACAATGAGGTTATTTCGCCACGTTCGTACCGCCTTTCGAAAATTAACGCCGGCCGCCACGATGCAAGCTTCACTTTTGGTCGCCTATCGGCGTTATCCAACGGTTAATTAAAATCCGCCAAGCGTGGATGCCATTCAATTATTACCGTTTCGAGGTTTACCAGTTATTTTACTGAGGACCCGCATTGCGCGTTATCTCCTTCAAACGAATCTTCGCCAGTACCTGAGTTGCGGTAGTCATATCAGGTGTTAACGTGACCTTAATATGAATGGTACCAACGTCGGTTAATCTTCGACCAATGTTAATGCTTTCGTCCGGTGTTCATTCTTCCCGGCTTATATTGTGTTGGGGAAGTGAACGATGTATTGGTCATACGCCACCTGTTGTACCGGAATGCGCCTGGAGCTGGCAATATTTCAGTCGATTATGCTGAATCATCAACAAATGAAGGAAGGTCGTATTACGCCAGCATATGTCGGTGAAAACATATCCGGGGCAAACAGCAGTGTCCGCGTTTCACCAGCTCATCAAGGGGAACAATTCCAGATTCGCCATTTCATGAAGGCGATTAAGAGCAGGAACTGAACAATGGGATGGTCATGCTCGCGAAATGGACAGATTGTCAGCCGGCATGTATTACCGGGTTATGGGGAATCCACGGTACCGGTTTTCTTCGATGCTGCAATACTGTTCTTTTCGGGGATTCCCTGCATGACGGAAAGAATTTGCTTCGACACTCATTGTAAAGCTTTGTAATGGCCTCATATATCACCTTTTCCTACGCGTTATTGCGCACCTTACGTCGGTCGGAAATTTCGCATTTGCCGACAGCCATTAAATATTCTGCTACCTGTGAGATGCCCGTTTCGCGTCGAGCGGTAAATGTTCATCAATTCCCGTTCGTCTATCCAGTCACCCAACCCGCCCATCGCGCCGTCAGTCAAATCATCAACGCCGCAAAGCCTGAGTTACTGATGGAGGAGGTGCGTATTGTGAACTATTTACCAGCGTCAAACGCTGGGGTTAATAAATGCTTCCGGTCGACAGCAGGCGATGGCGGGAGGGTAACTTCATTAGCGGCGATAGACGCATTGAACATAAAATGATGAAACGCAATTGATATTACGAAGGTCGGCATTTGCCGGCGACCATAAGCCTAATGCCGTTGTTTGTTGTTAGACAACAGTTTATTTTGACCATAATGATACGATAACGCGTATTATAGAATCAGGTGCATTAAAAGCGTTGGTGCGTTACTCAACATGCCATTGATCACCTTCAGTCACGACTGGTGTTAAAGCGTTATGCTGTTGATGATACGCTTGTTAGTCTTTTGCTGGCGTTAACAAGCGTCGCCAGCCGGTTCGTTTGGAATGCCAGTCTCGTTATCGAAACGACATCTAAATTGCCAGTTTGAATTGACGTGATGATTTCACTTCATTGTTACCATTATTGATGAGTTATTCGATGGATCGCATTTTCTCGATATGGTTGTTCAGGTTCGCGCCGGCGATTCGGTTGTAATCCCCCGCTATGAAACGACCGCATGCCTTTCATCGACGCCGCACGCTCAGGTTGATACAGCCGTCGCCTTGTCCCGATTGATCGCTCTACGTCAACCTTCCCCGTAGCACTGGTTTCGGAACCTTCCGCCAGCCCGGACCAGTGACCCGCGTTGAACCCAGAGATGTTGCCGATGCAGTAATTGCCCCTTCCGGCGTACAAGACGCTGTAGCCGTTGAACGTGAGCTCAGCTCATCACCCAGCTGCCTGCAAACGGCCCATGCACAGTAAGCAACTCAAGTCAGAACCTTTCTTTATCTTGTCGAAATATGCGCTTCACCGGCCATCGATGCTCAGCACCTCGCCAATCTTGATGGTCGTTTCGATGATGCCTGACCTAATGCTCACACGGTCAGCTATCATTGCTGTCAGCCGCGATATTGAATGCCAGTCGAACTGACGGGCACGATGAGGTCATTCTCACCCAGGTTGGGGAATCGAACCAACAGCATTTGGTTCTATTCATCTTACCGATTTCGTTGGTGATGGTCACCGACTACCGCTCTCGACTTCTAGAGGCCTCTTAATCTCCGGAAAGGGTCTAGCTCTACCCATGACAGCATACATAAAATATAAAAGTAACATACTAAATACAATGGATGAAGGGAAGTTACGACGATCCAGATGGATGACCAGGGATGATAGTGCCCACTGAGATATAGCTCACCTTGGGTAATGAACCTGAAGAGCCCATCAATGACTTCTATGACGCTGGGAAGGTAGGCACAATGTCGAAAGCCGTAAGTAGACTATTCCAAGTTTACCCTCCACAGGAGCACGCCGCGATTGAAGGCTTACCCAGAGATCAATCTCGGAGAAACACAACAAGAGAACCGCCAGTTCACGTTTGCCAGTCGCTGGGGTTGGCATTATCCGTGATGAACTAGCCCCATAGATTAATGCTGATGCATGGCCCGTCTTCCTAAGGTCGCCCAAGATCTGCAACAACAGGCCGAACTCAACGATGGTTCCAACGTTACTAAACAACTGCTGGACACGCATAACAACAAGCCCCACCCGGGTCTGAATTTACCTTTGGCTGGACAAGGCCACGCAAACCATTCGTGGGCTTTCACCGGACACGGTTAAACTGACGTGCGATGCATGTACAATATCGCCTCGCGAAAAGACGCCAGGTAGATGACGAAATCTCTGAAAGCCACTCATCGGCGGAACGAGAAGCAACCTGGAAGAGGAAAGGTCGACCCGCTGGAAGCTGTCCTCTTCCGAGAACAGCTTTGGTCCCGCGTGCGGGGAACCATCGATCGAGTACCTACCAGGATTACGCTAGCTGACAGGATCCGAATCCTGTTCCGAGAGCAGGATCACCATCGCCAGGGTTCTGACGGTTTCATCATATCGACCTGGTCACCACTGACGGGTGGAGTACACCAACACCCAACCCCACCTGGTGGCGCCAGACTGGGTGAGTCGAAATCCCTCGTGGAGGCCCCCTCGCAGCATCGTCTTACATACAGAGCACGCCATAAAACGTCACTGGCTCATCAAACCGGCCATCGCCGCCGTACGGCTGTCGAAGGCTGGGCGAGTTTAAAATCAAACAGGCCAATCCCAGCGACCACCAGTGGTTTTACCATCGAGGTGTTCCGTTCTCAGCCACCCGGTGCGGTGGAAGGGCTGGGGTGGCCAAAACCGTACACCGCCACGGCCGGAGGGATGACCACGTTGAGGCTCACTGACCCAACTGCGGCCGCTATTTCGTTGTGTTCACCACTTGTTGAATCTCCGTTGGCCAGTCGCTCGGCCATGTGCAGTCCCAGGTCGAACAATTCCAGTCGACTTTCTGACCGCTTTTCCAACACGCTTTGGTATGATAACTCGCAGATCGACCGGTTCAGCAATAGCATCCCGGCATTAAGCAATTTAACCGTTTCTCGCGTCAGCAGGTCCCCACCGGTCAGAACGCCGCTGCTCCGCATCTAACAAAGCGCCCACGTACGCTCGAATCGAGTCGTTCAAGCGCTCGGTGCCGCAGTGAACCCTTCAACGGTCCAAATATATACACTTCTCCAATTGTCTTCAACGGGTTCGACCTGATGGTGAAAACCAACGCGTCGCCCAAATCCATTTATCATTCGCTACTCGACAGAGCAAATTGGCCGAAGTAAACCCTCGCTCAGTAGATCATCACTGGCTTTCATCGGTTTTGGCCCACTGTTTAGAGGTTGGAGAATCATGGAAGAATTACCCGAACTAAACATACGTCATAAAGTTACCACTGTATCTTTTCGTAATGCTTTTTACGGGAGAGTCCATCACCAAAATGGAATATCCAACCCGTGGTTCAATTCTCCCCAACTGTTTCTCGGATCGATCTCGACCACAAATCCGTTTGTAAGCTCAACATCGCGGCAGATTTTTTTATGCATCCTGTCCTGTGGGAAGCGGGGTTGATTTTGAGGATACTGACTCGTACACGAAACGAACAGACCTACTCAGCATCACGCCTATGTGTCGTCAATGCCGCCACACCCTGTAGCTAATTGCGAAGTTGAGTTAATTCGCCATAACCGGGTTGGTTGAACCAAGGACTGCCTTGACGTTCGCCACCAAAAGCCTATACCGCTCGAACACATCGATGAACTACCAACCCAGCCACGTCGACCACGATCTTCATGTTCGTGAAGTCTTTATATCTTAGGGAAACACCCCGGGTTTACATTTTAAAAAGCATATATCATGGTACATATACTTAATATGCAATGCGACACCGATAACGAGGGTGATCGCGATAACCGTTTAACGCCGCATCGACAACACGCCGGGTCAACTCAAGTCGCGACTCGCGACACACCTACCTGCCGTGAAAGTGGACCAACATCAACGACAAAGCAACAACAAACTGTTCTCACAGTGGCGCCCTCAAGCAACCACATACAACCGGTTGTGCTACAGCGCTGCTCGATAAGCGATGAAGTTCGACCTCGCGGAGAGCCGAACTCAAGATGAACGCTACAAACGGCACGGTCGTGTTAACCAACAACGAATAAACCCCTTGGCTGACATTATGAGGACATCACAGCCGACGAGATAAAACCCATTAACGACCGTCACGGTACGAAGTTAGCCCGACCTAGTCCACAACGTGAGCTGTGCATTCATCTCTGACAGTTGAGCACGATGGACAACATTCAGGCCTAACGCCGCTCAACGCTGCTGATAGCCGCATCGATGACGGAGTACAACCGTTTTCAGCGTATTTCACGAGAGGTTAACCTGGGGCAATCATCCTGGTTACTATCAGTGTTAGATATAAAGCATAATACTGTGGATACCACATTAACGCTTCACATAAAATGACTAGTAACAAGGCCAAGAAGGTTGAAGAGATGCACAATGTAAGGATCTCCGACCTCGGGGACACACGCAACTAAAAGACCCCGAGAAGAGGGTAGACCAGCCTTACAGCTTAAAAACAGTAGCTTACAAACGCTTGAACTGTAGAACCGGTAATACAGTCGATATTCCCCAGAGCGGCCTCACCGGTTTGACCTAGTCCAGATCGCCAGGCACTCCATCGTTCGGCGGCAAACTGTTCGGGACCTAGAAGATGTCGAGAGCAGCGACCACCGCCCAACAGTTGCATGCCCTTGTTCACCGACGATGACAAGTGGGTGTTGTTACCCTCCGAGTCGATCTGTTTCTCAACATTAGCTCGGCTACCTACGCGGTTCGCAGAGAACAAAGACAACTACCTAAACAAAGTCGCGAACAACGGAACCCTGTCGGTTTAATCAACGCTATACGAAGGTGTCATCAGCTTCCAGCATGGCACCCCACATGCTGTCGAAGCCAGGACGCAAAACGGGGTTGCAGGTGGTGTCTGAATTCGAAGGCGTGGTCATCGTGAGAGCTCACCGTGAACCCGGTCATCCAAGCTCACCTTAGTGAAACAATCGCGCCGGGGTCGAAGTCGTGAAGGGGATCAAACTCCGTGGGCCAAACAACCAGCATCACGCTTGCACTGTTTACGTGTGGGTAGCGACACCCACACCAGTCTGCAGGGTCAGACCATGGAAGACACGTATAATACCTACCAAGACTCACAACATACACCCCATGGGTGAAGTGCACCAACCATCAGAAAACAGTTGGAAACCACTTTGTAATAGTACACAGTCATCGCCCCAACACGCTTAGCGACCTAGGAGACACAGAGGGTTCTATTGGCCTGCCAGGGCGCTCTGTACGTCCCACGAAAAGACAACGTATAGGTTGAAAGTTCGGCAGACTCTAAGGAGCCTGATCAACGTGACCTCACCGCACCCAACTTCTTCAAAACGAACGTAGACATGTCAATGAAATTAGGAACAATGGCTCCCTTCACGTCTTTCATTCCATATGAGGGGTGACTTCACCATATCGCCCGGAACATGATAGCTTTCCTCATCTGTGGATTCAACAAGTGGCCGACTCACCCGGATGCCCCATCAGCGGCGATGGCACCAGGTGGCCCACAATAATCATAGAAGTCGCCCCGGAAGCGCTATTATGGGGCCGCAACTTTTACCTGGGGTGACAGCTATTGGGACTCCACATGAGGGCCAACACACGTTGCCGTATCGTCATAATAACTTGACAGGACCGTTCCCCTCAATCTATCCCCCTGTGGGTTAGACCAGAAGTTACCCATTGACCTTTTCCGTATCTTCCTATACGAATCTATGCCTTATAAGCCCTCAAGCAAGGCCTGATCGCCCATTGAATGAAGAATACCAAAAAATATCTTATAAGTTATAATATATGCACAGGATGCAATTAAAATCTTTTCCGTAGAGGAAGTACAAGACACTGGAGTAGACGGGTTCCCCGAGGCAGTTATGCCATGCCAATCCAGGAACAAGACCACGACAGACGGGCAGCTATAAAGTAGAAGCACTATGGGTCACCGTCGTGGATGGGGCTGATACCGCCTTGGCGACAACCAGCATGGGACCAGGGGAGGTAGGTTAGCCGTTACCAGCCAGTAAGTTAGGCATCGGCGGTTTGCTTTCCGTATCCCGCAGGTGACCAAAGCGTTGGAAGCTAACTTTACGAGACTGGTCCTTCCAAAGCTGAACACAGTAAGCGACCACATCTCCACCGCACTCACCGACAGTAAATTCTCCGAGGAGGAGTTTTGCCTATCCCTGAACTCACCAAATACCAATGAGATGAAGCAAAGATCCGGTCCAAGTCTCGTAATACCGCCGCGAAGACGAGAGAAAAAGCACACAGAACAAGGCACAACAAGCCCGGCAACACCTCAAAGAGCCCAGGCGATCTCAATAAACCGTTTCGTCGAGCAATAAACATGATGTAGGTGTTGGTCTGCGGCCAGTGGCCAGGAAGCTGATTGGGGATCAGCGGTATACCGGTAAATTCGACAAAGGCCTTTATCTGGCGAAAGCAAAAAATGATCTCGTACCCAACCGTATATAACATTGCCAGGTCAGAAATTCATATATATATCGGCAGGTCGAATCGTTATCATTAAATAATACCCTGCATGGCGATATGATGAGCAATAGTGTTGTAACACGCCGATTATGGTATGGACGTATTTCGAACGTAATGTTCGAAACTTCGTTCGAGATATAGGTCAGCTTCGCACGTATTGATGGCTCCATGAAATAACGAGTCATAGCTTCAGGATCGACTGTGCCTCATCTTCACCAGAAATTGTTTAATTTCATTGCCACCAGTTCAGTATCTGATTATGAGCCTTTATTTTCGCTTCGATCGGTCTTCGACGTTCGTAATTGTTGTTCTTTTGCGGGATAGACCAGTTTTCGTTATTTCGGTGAAGCCAGATTACGGCATCATCTTCAGAGAAGAAGACAGCCTTCGGTATCTTCAGGATGAGACCATTAATTAATGCCCGACTTCAACTCCTTATCGCCGACTGATGTGATACGCGGAACGTCATCGGCACTTATCATCAGGATAACCAGCAGGCATTGCAGGATCATTGTTTTCACATCGTCGAATTAAAGACCAGTCAGTCCATACCGAGTTTTGTCCTTTTCGGTTTCGTAACCCGACATGGTCAGAAGCCCACGTCTCCGTGATGTCAGTTAAAATAAACACCAATTTGCCATTACCAGCATCAGGTTTACCGGCTTTTGTTTGAGCGTTAATAATAAACACCGGCATCATATACAGTTACCGAACATTCAACATGTTGGTCGTTTTGCAACAGTCAATGCCCAGCAATTGCCTGCCAGTATTAAATGACAGGGCCGAGCAGCCACAACAGAATGCACGTTACTGCTTGGGGTCAAAGAAGATAATGTTTTCGCTGCGTTGATGCCATGGTATCACGATATGCTTAACAACCATTTCAATAGATACAATAGCAAGTCAATCACCTTTCTTCATTGGTAAATTTCGTAAATACAGTGGTAATGGTACTAAGTTCTTTCAAAGTAAAGCCATTAGTTCATTCGCTATGCACGCCATTTCTCATCGTTAGCTGCCGAATACTGGCAAACAGCGATTACTGGCTGATGCCGACATATTCTTCGGCGGTATTTCACTATTTCAAGAGCTTCAGCCCGCTTAAACAGAACGTTCCAACATTATTCATCTTTAATTAGACAGTTTTCGCGCTTGCCAGTTCTTCCGCATTATGTCTCGCGGGATGTTTTCAGCTGATGTTCACAACAGTTTGTGAGTGACATAGCTCATTGTATTCATATGTTCGCCTTCAAAAGCAAAACAGCACAATATCACTGTCAGATCGCTCTTCGCCAGCTTTTAACACCGTAGCGTCAGTTTAAACCACGATTGCTCGATCTTCACGACTTCAGCGTTAACAGATACCAGTTCGATATTCCAGCCGTTCCAGAAGCGGTCGCCTCGAGGCGCCGCTACGCGGCCAATATCATTATCATCCATTAACAGACCGATGTATTAAAGACGAAGGATGTTCACGCGATGAAATCAGCGTTAACGTTAAATAATGTTCTACGTTATTCTTCATTGTCAACACCGAGGACATATTCATCCTTCCTTCGCCGCGAAAGAATACGTCAGATCGTTAGTCATAATAAACGTCAGCCAGCCGGTCGTTCGTCGTTCGCGTTACTGAACAATCAGTAGAAATCGAAGATATCGAAAGGAAAACAGTCGGTCGATTTGCCGCGTTTATCATTGCGCCGAACCGTATCATGAATACCGCTTTGGGAAGTCGTACGCAATACGTCGGCGTTCGCCGCATTAACACGCACAATCAGTTGGTTGGTACGTTATCGTAACCGGCGTGATACGTTCGATTCGTACTAATACCCAGCAATAAATATCAACCCGAACACCAGTCCGCCGTTAGCCAGTTTTCTGGTATATGCGTAAAGCAACGATCAAACACTATGTATGTCCGTGTACAATGTAGAAGTTTCTACGCTTCATATTTTCGATTACCAAAAGACATTGTTCATCCAATATGGCGTTTTAACCACCGAAAGGTATCATTCACGCAGCATCAGGTGATTACGAATGAAAAGAAATATAAGCACCAATGGTGACTTATTCTTTCATCAGCATGGATTACTGAATCATTATCACCATTGGCTCATTGCCAAAAACGTAATATTCTGAAATTAATCAACGAGTCTTCAGAGAATGGCGTTCAGTTTTCAATACAACAAAAATGAAACACCAACGAAGCGATGCGGGATTGACCACCATGTCGGCCAGTATCGCCACAGGATATTGTTGATGTCAATAAATACCGTTCTTACATCGCAGCCGTGAATCAATAAAACCAGGCAGATATTGAAGAGAAAATAGCATTACAATCAATAGACCGCGACTTTGTGCGTCGATGCCTGTTAAACATACCTGTAGTAAATAATACCATCAATAAACATATTTAGCCCAGATTCGTTCTCAGTGATATTGCGTCCGGTATTTTCTCCGCGTACGATTGCTGATGGTCGTAATTCGGTAATTGTATTGTTTAATGGCGTTACGTTTGGGAAAACAATGTTACCTGTTCGGTTTCGATCTCGCGTCACCAATACGAATAAACAGTATCCTCTTTCATTTACAACACATTTGATGTTAACTTAAGAAACCATATATAAATATTGAATAACATCAATAATACTAATTAATGCCAGCCGTTTTTGTCGGAATAGAATTCATCATCAGTATCAAAAGCGGGAACGATAGGTAAAATCAACCGGAAGTGCTTCAAAATCGAAACGATAAAACACTTTTGCGAATCGCGAACGTCGACCCCTGACTTCAGCACTTGCGCAATCGGTTCTACGCACACCAGCACGTTCAATGGATTGATGAGTATACCAACGTTAAGTTCTTCATAAAGTCACCCAGCGATACAATAGTTATTAAAGTAGACGATCACCAATAGGACCATCACCGCATCCTTTCACGCCATGACGCAGCGTTTAAATCAATATACCACGCTTCAACAGGTGTTTAACGGTTACCGGGGGTCAACAATAAAATACCACGACAAACAAATATCTTCAAAGGTTAACTATCGACATATCCTTCGCGATTCCGAAATAGAGAGTTTCGAGATCGCATATGCTGATCATTAAAACGGATCCTGGTAACAGGCGATCTTCAGCTGGATTGTCAAACATGGGTTTTGATTTCGGTCTCTGGCGTCTCATCGATGAAAAACGCACTCGCGCGTATTCCCAGCGCCAACGGCTGCAGCCAACGTTATCGACGTCAATATTGTCAGCAAAGCTTCATGCCGGTCTTCGCGATTTTTAAATGAAGTTAATCCGCGAATATGCATTGCGCCACTTGCGACATTTAAGAAAGCCGCGTTAATGACGGCATCAGTCATCAAGCATAAACATTACCGTACAGCGTATTGGTAATATACAATGATGCTCATCGTTTCTATTAGCGCTCTGAATGATTAAGACAAAGTCTCTGTTTTAGGTCAGCATGAACTCACCATGACGGAATAGAACAAAGCCGATGGAATTCGCGACTTAGTTTTGTGATTTAATATGCGAAGAGATGTTGTTATGAATAAGAGATATTGGCTTCGTAGAGCGCATTTTTATTTCACCTGATAATTTCCGCGTAACACCACGCAATTCAGATGATTGGCGTTTGTTCGTGAAGGTTAGTTGGCCTTTATGTTCATTTGTCGCCGTTCTGCACAAGCGACATATTCGTTTCGCGCACAGAACAATATCAAAGCGATCTCTAATACCAGGACCGTAGACGATCTAGAGCCCGTAGTTCAGTCGCGGTTTGCTTCGCCGATGATTCATTTCGGCCCGGTATTCATGTTTGATGAATCAGTTGCGGGGATGCCACCAGCATCCGCGAGAACTTCAAGACACCGAAGCTGAAGCATGTCGTAAATACCAAATTGACAAAGATGAATGTGACTCTGTGCGCTGTATCGTCAGATAAAATAAATAATAAATACGCAACACCAAACCGGTTCTACCACTGTCTGGTATACGGTTCTGCGATCCGTTCAGACTCGAATCATAAACGAACACTTCGGTATTGAAGAAAGTGTTGCGCCATCAATGACGGCGCCGGTGATATCAGCGTTAATACAAAACTCACGGTTCGAGACGGCGCAATAAATTATCACCAAAGATTTCACCGTGAAATCGCCAACATCAGACTTCCGCGTTAATTCGCCGTAACGCGGTGTCGCCATACTTCGTCAACGCACTAACAACGGTACAACACGTTTATTTATGAGAACATCGCGGGCGCAGCAAATGAACGTACCGATCCGCTATCCGTCTTCAACGAAATAAAATTCAAAATCATTAACGAATGGTAAAACGATTAACACG